ATTGAGCATTAATCACTATTGAATCCTTGTTACAAACTAAAGAGATGTATGCACCAAAACAAGACAACATAGGAGACAAGAGAGTGTGATGTTAACGTCCTTGTAGAATCTGCTGTATAAAAATTTTACATAAAGCTAAAAAAAACAATTCTTCACTTGATTCTAGCATTTGATGACATTACCATTCAAACGTTTAGGATTACTATGAATTAATTTTTTTTAAAGAAATGTATACTTTTGCTCTTCAAGGATGCATTAATTTAATAAAAATGACAGTAAATACATTTATAATGTAAAAAAATATATTTCAAATAAATGCTGTTCTTCTGAACTTTCCATTCATCAAGGAATGCTGTCGCTGTTATCCACACTTAATTAAGCAGTACAACAATTTTCAACTCTGATAATAATCAGAAATGATTCTTGTGCAGACAATCAGGATATTAGAATGATTTCTGAAGGATCATGTGACACTGAAGAGGAGAAGCTGAGATCTGACATCACAGGGGGGGAAAAACTTTATTTTAAATTGTAAAATTATTCCACAATATTAATGTTTTTTTATATTTTTAATCTGATGCAGTTGGTGACATGAACAAAGAACCTTATAATACAAATCCTTAGAACAGTATTTTATATATCATATCAAAACAAGCACAAGCACACTCACACTTATGAACATTTGTTAATGAAATAATTTTTTAACATGAAATTAGTTTCTTATTCCATTCCATAAAATGCTGTGAAGTATTTGTTTTCTCATCTACAGTGTACCAAATATAGGTTGCTTTTTAAACTTTTGTCCATCCAATTTTGTTTAATCCAAAATTTTACTTATTAAAGGAACACTTTCATGCTTGTGTGTGTGGTCTTAGATTCCTATTCATTTTGTAAATACAGCCTAAGCCTAACAGTTTAAGAACACCATGATAGATGAAAAATGATCCACAAATACAAGTTTATTTCAGCTGTTGTATTTAAATAAAAACAATTTTAAACATTTTTAAAGCATTGCAAGCTACAGCACAACGAACTGAAATCAAAGTTAGGCTACAAGTAGCTTAAGTGTGCTGGATGTCTGCAATAATTCCGTCAGTGACGACTGCACAAAACGTGCAAACTAATGAAAACATTACACTTTAATTTAACGGTTACAAAATGATGAACAAATGTAGTTTAGGCATAGGTTTGTGCAACGCTGTAAAATATTTACCTTTTTTAAAATATCCCATTAAACCTGCTGAGATACAAGGAGCGTGAACTGAAATTCTCAGTTCCACTTGGTTCCACGCGCATGTCCGGGAACTCATGAATATTCATGTATGCTCCGCCCACTGAAACAGAATATCTCGGAAACCGAAAATCTCGTAACACCGGACATTCAAATGTCATGTGACTTAAAAACAGCACATCACTGTATACCTTCAATTACAAACACACAATAACATTTTAAGTTACTTCCATTTCTGAAAAAAAGAATGTAGGCCTAGTAAATTGATGCTATAAATACACACGCCTGATTTTTGTTTTAATTATCCATCGTACATAAAAATTAAAAACATTTGCAATCAAGACTGAAAAAAGCCAGAAGTGAATGTAAACCAGATTTGGCCCAGACTCTGTTGCTATCTGTGAAGCCAAGCATAAGAATAGCCTACTAATGTAAATTTGTTAACCCACAGTAACACATTTTAACAGATTAATCGCATCTTTTTGTTTGCTGCATGCTTTTAAAAACACAATAAAAAATTTTTTGAGGAAAATAAAAAAAAGATACGTCTCGTATAAGTTGCAATTTCAGAAATAATAACGGCAGGCCTAATAATGTTATAATGTACCAACATTATGAACACTTTAGATATTTTAGTTCCCCTCACTTTACAACAAATCCTTTAAATTTAACCGTATCAGAATAAGAATGTAAAAATATATAATTCTAATAGATAAATATAATTACAGTATATAATAATATATGCTTAGCAATAAACATGCCAAAACAAATTAATTTATAAAGAAACGTAAGGTAAAGTTGGGTTTGAGTTTTGGGTACTAGGCCTACTCCGTAATTTTTGGTCATACAGTAAAGGCATAATTCGAAACTGCAAAGTGTTAGCAGTTTGAAAATTCAAGAATAATTGCAAAGTTAATAAGAATTCTTTCTAAATGCAGCACCGTTCTTATTTCGCGCATAACCTGAACTAAAAAAAACGTTTTTTTTGCTAAG